AATTCAAGCTGAATGGGGAGGTGACAAAGTGAGAAAATTCAAGTTGAAGGGGGAGGTGACAATGTGAGTAAATTCAAGCTGAAGGGGGAGGTGACAATGTGAGTAAATTCAAGCTGAAGGGGGAGGTTTAAGTGTACTGTGATGTATTAGGACTGTACTGCTTGGAACTAGTTTTATCGAAACAACTAGCTGAAGTGCCCGGCATTGCACGTGTAATTATTTTTAAAAATCCAATTTTGATACTTCCAGGGTACCCATTGGTTCCATCAAAAAGTTTCAGCCAATTCGGTCCAGCCGTTTGGCCAGCTATAGCTGACATACATACAAATATATGATATAGATATCAAATATTTTAAGTATTCAATATTACATGTTTTTTAAGGCAATTGATATAATTACACCCAAAGGTTCAACCCTTTTTAGATCATATTTTTTTCTTAGGAAAAAATATGATCTAAAAAGGCTTGAACCTTCTCGATAAAGAGAAAATTTCTGTCCAACTACTTAATTGCAATACAAATTAAAATGATAATGATATAAACAGTTATTTTAGGACTGGGGACAAATTATATTTTACGAGAATATTTTTTCTAGTTTTGGAGAGGCAGGGTGAGGTAGTTGAGTCTGAATATAAATATCTACAAGCTCTTCAACTAAGAACTCCCTACCCAGACTGTGAATTTAACCTAGGCAATAAAACTTATTCATATTAGATCATTCAGAAACCAAGAATTCTAGTTTAGATTATGTTACAAATAATACTGTTACTTAAAAGTGACTAGAGACGTAATTTCATTTAAATTTAGCTCCTGGTATGTCAGATTCTTTTACCTTTATCAGAGTCACGATGAGGAAGATATTTTAAAACATGTTAAATTCTAACTATTTTCTTTTTTGTGTCTTTAGCATAAATCCACGTCACTTCACAGTAAAACCATAAGATTTTCACTTTTCATGATGACATTTCATTCTTCCTTGGTCAGATTCAAATGGGCCTAGTGTTAGTTTTGGAACTAATATCCCCGGAACTGGCTAATGGTCAGAAATTATTTTTCATACTTTTTAATTAACAAAAAAGATCACGTTTTTTTATTCTCTTTTTTTTTCTTTAGAAATTGATAATTTGTCTTTTACCTTCTCATTTTTACGGGTTTCCTTTTCAAAACCAACAACTTTGTATCTCTTCTATCTTTTAGACTTAAAAGGATTATTTCCATATTTGAAGAGACATTTTTTTATTTATAATGGACATACAAAAAAGTAATTACTCCCAATTTTGGTAACAAACTCCGAATTACTAGGGTCGTTTTATTTACATATTTTTTTCAGGATAAATCTAAAATATTAAACTGAAAGGTATGCTTAAAGGAACTTATATAAAGTAATTTTAAGTTATTTGAGCCATTTATTTACAGTGTGGCGCGCCTCATTCAAACGTGACCCTTAAAAAGTTGTGTCTCATTAAGAATTAATCATCTTTGAAAATTAAGTGGTGATATAGGTCGTGCTGTTGTTATCTTTGTTCAAAAAATAAAATAAATAAATATTTTTAAAAACATGACCACTCTATTTGATAAATAATCTTCAATTTTGCGTTTAAAATATTATTTAATACCGGACCATGATTCCGAAATTAATAACTTACTTAATTTTAATTTAAATCTAAATAATGATGAATTTAAGTTCGTTAATTAATTGGTTGTTAACAAGAATGTTTTACCTGGAAAGGGAACCTGTATTTGAAAACCATGCAGTTCACCAAAGCAGAAATGCAGTTCAGGTATTTATCTGCTTGTTTCACAGTTCGTATCAAGTTGACTTCTAACTTAGTTTGTGTTATTTGATGAACGTCAAAACGGTTAAAAATATTCAACTTTTTCCAAAAAGAAAACTTAAAAAAAATTTTATCCACCAATGAAAATTTGAAAATCTCTAAAGCAATATGGATTATATACAACCAGAAGATGAAGGAGTTGTTGAAATATTTTGATGTATCGTTTATTAACAGGAAAGGTGTTGAGCTAAATCATGAACTGTCCTATATTAACCTGAGTTTACTACTGGATCAACTAGGCAAGCTGGAAGAATCTAGGTAAGGCGCCTGTTATTCAGCTTTTTGACATATCATTAACTTAAAAAATATCTTCAATTTTCAGAAACAATTTGGAGAGCTCAATTTGTTAATAAATTTTTGTTTCGAGATAAAGATTTTTTACTTAAAAAAAAATGTAAAAATTTTAAACGGGATTTGGAATTTTCAACAAAATGGGAATTTTGGTTAAAAGGAAACCGGAGGGGACAATGCATATATAATATATATTATATATCCCATTAAAAATAAACTGAAATAGTTTATTTTTACCCTTTCATTCCCTATCTGAGTAACAATGAGGAAGATCACATCATTTTAATCTTAAATTGTGTTCAATTCGGAAAATATCTTTAATTTTTTTTGCCGCACAAAGCTTTTAGTCACTTGCACAAAAAACCACAACTGATAATAAAAAATATTTAACGAAAAAAGTAAGGCTAGAATATATATAATTCATCCTTTATTTGACAAATGTTTAAAGGGTACCGTTGTGAATCAAATATCTCCATCCCTTGAAATTACGTCTTCCGTGGTATCTGCTAATTTAGTTTATTTCATCAGATTCTTGTTTAAAAGTTGAAATATTTTACAACATAGGAATGTTGAATTCCGAAATATTTGCAAACCTGCAAATTGTTCAACATGAAAACTTGCTGGAAAAGTTTCCTATAATACCAACAAGATCTTGTTCAATTTACGTTTTCTAGAAATTTTACCAGTTAAAGGATAAATTTATCCTTTATCTACTAATATGAAAAACAGACAGAAGTATCCGGCTTTGCCCGAGGAATGTCAAAAATCTTCAAACACTTCATAGAAAAACGAAGTCTTGGACATATGAAAAAAAATTTATCATAATATCTTACGTTTTTGAGAGAAGTGAAATACAAAAATGTTTTATAAATATTCAATCTTGATTCACTAATAACATAATTACTTTCAAAGTTGGAGGTTTAGGAAAGTTTTTGTCCAGAATTGTATTGTATTGTTTTATAAATATTAAATTATTTTTCTCCATGAAAACAGATATGACTAAAAGAAAATTATCAAATATGTATTAAATTCAGGGTTGTATATTTTTCAGTATTACCCCCCGCCCTCCTCGGGGGGAGATGATTATTGATGATTTCGGGGTGAAAAAATGAAAAATTTAACATCAAATTTTCATTCTTTTTGATACTTTTTACCCCATAATTCATTGAATTTCTCTTAAAAATTTTTAAAACCTTAAAAAATCATTTAGCTTTTTTTTTTAGGGGGGATTGATTTTCAATGGGGGGGAGGAAAATTATTAAGTGACCCTCCATTTATAGAATGGTATGTCTGATTCACAACGGTACACCACTTAGCAGCAGTGCTTAGGATCCATTGAATTATGATGCGGATCTGGCCCCGGATCTGGGATCCGCACTGGAAAAAAATAGATCCGGATCCAGGTCATGAACATTTAAGTAAGCTTTACTTTAAGAATTTTCTAATTATTTTTCATATTTTGTTTTACTTATTTTTATGCAACATCTTGATAAACCATTCAGAGATAAGTACATTTTTGATAATATCTCTTTTTTGACCATTTGAGATTTGAGTTTTGAGAACAAAATATTTTTTTTTGCAGTTTTTGGTTGCTATTTTGCCCTTGGATCCAGATTAGGAGTGTATATTTTCTCACAATAAAAATACGTCTTTAATCTCTTTAACAGATTTTTTACTCTTTTTGAATTGATGCTGAGGGAAGAAAGTAATTATCCTTTTGTTGGTTTACGATTTTTTTTATAAAGTTTAATCTAAGGTTTCCGTTCTTCTAAGTTTTTGATTGTTTATGACAATAATGAAGATTGAGCTCTAGTCTCCAGGGCTTTTATTCATTTATCTTGCCCTATTTTGCTGCAGAGTGGAAATATTTGTTATATTCTCACGATGTTAAAAAGATTTTCTATCGTATTTAGGATCCATTCCATTTTATACTGAACCGGTTTATGGATGCATCCATTTTATACTGAACCGGTTTATGGATGCGTCCATTTTATACTGAACCGGTTTATGGATGCGTCCATTTTATACTGAACCGGTTTATGGATTTGTCCATTTTATACTGAACCGGTTTTTGGATGCGTCCATTTTATACTGAACCGGTTTATGGATGCGTCCATTTTATACTGAACCGGTTTATGGATGCGTCCATTTTATACTGAACCGGGTTATGGATGCGTCCATATAAGGAATTGTACGCGGAATTTCAAGTGACTCGGCATGCTTAGGTGGCAATATCCGATTCACAACTTTACCCTTGAAGTCAGTGCTTAGGATCCGTTGGATTTGAAAGGGGTAAAAAATCAACCAAAAACTGCAAAAGAAAACTTTTTTACTCCTAAAACCCAAATCAGAATTTTTGAAAAAAGAGAGATTATGAAAATTTCCTCATTTCTGAATGGTTCATTAAGTTTTAGGATAAAAATAAGCGAAAAAAATAAAACAATATTTGTAATTATTTTTTGTTAAAAATTCAGTAAATCTTTAAAAAATGACCTGGATCCGGATCCATTTTTTCCAGTGCGGATCCAGGATCCGGATCCGCATCAAAATTAAATGGATCCGAAGCACTGCTTGAAGTTTTGTTTTACGAGAATTAAATAGATGTCAATGTGTTACTTGCGCATCTTTAGTGCAAGAACATATTTAGAAATTGTTCAAAAATAATTCACTTTTTAACCTTGAAAAAGTTAATGTCTTCCACGTTATTGATCCTAATTTTAAGTGACCCTCCATGCAAAGATCACTTTGGTAGAGAAACCACAATCAAAAATAATCCGTTTTTAAAATTATAAACATTGATATCTAATAAATATACAGGGTGGCCAAAATGTACGGATTGTACGGATTTTTTTATTTGTAACCCTAAAATTGTACGGATTGTACGGATTTTTTTTTCAAATTGTACGGATTGTACGGATTTTTATCCTGGAAATACACCGTTTTTTTTTAATTTTCACTCATTTCAGCAAATTTTTCATGAAAATTTCAAAAAAAATTCTCGTCAAAATGAAATTAGTTTAACTTATTTTCTGCATTCTAAATAATATTAGATTGATTAATGTTTCAATTGACAATCAAAATTCATTCATAATTTTCGAGATCCCAGAAGTGTTCATTTGAGAATATGTTCCAGAAGTGTTCATTTGAGAAATGAGAATATGTTTATCTTTCTGTCTATCTGTCTAGCTAACTGTTTAGCTATCTGTCTAGCTATCTTTCTAGCTATCTGTCTAGCTATCTGTCTGTCTAGCTATCTGTCTAGCTATATGTCTAGCTATATGTCTAGCTATATGTCTAGCTATCTGTCTATTCATCTGTATATCTATCTGCATGTCAGTTTATCTATCTTTTTATCTATCTGTTTATATATCCTATCTGTCTCTCTGTTTATCTATATGTGTATGTGTCTATCTGTTTCTCTGTCTATTTATCTGTCTATCTATCTGTCTGTCTGTTTATCTATTTATCTATCTGTCTCTTTATCAGATCTGAGAACATCCTCTCAGGTTTCTTCCGTTTATCTGTAAATCTTTTCATTTTTAGTTTAATATTAACTTTCTTTTAATTGAGTTTGCAACCCCTGTACCACGCTAATTTTAATTATATTAGATCCTAAATCTACACTCCACTCTTTCTAATTATAACTTAATCGTTTGTTTGTTAAATGGCCTAATTCACACCGATCTAAACAGTTTTAAAAATTAGAATCAACGCTCTTTAGTTCTCTAGTTCTCTGGTTCTCTGGTTCTCTGGTTCTCTGGTTCTCTGGTNGGGGGGAGAAAGAGGTGGTGGGGAATGGGGGGGGGGGTGAGACAGTGTTGAATAATATTTTCAAAAATGGTTTTATTTTTCTTAAATGTACGGATTGCAGGGATTTTTTCGAAAATTGTACTGATTGTACGGATTGTTTAAAAAATGTACGGATTGTTTCAAAAAAATGTACGGATTGTACGGATTTTTTTTCGAAAATTGTACGGATTGTACGGATTTTTTCTGAAAATGTACGGCTTTTTGTACGGATTTTTTCAAAAAAGTTTTGGCCACCCTGAATATATGATCATACAAAGCATATAAGGGTAGAGTTGTGAACCGAGAATTAACATCTTTACATGGAAGTTCTCGTGAAATTAAGCGTATTGTCCCTTTAAGGATTATAAGGGTCTAATGAGGAAAACTGAAAACCAGTAGAAGTTTAGATTTTCATTAATTTACGCTTATCACATAATTTAATATTTCAAATTGCTGAAATAGCGATTTTTTCTGGCTCATCATTTCCATTCAAAGATTTAAAACTTTTTAATAGTTGGATTGCTTTAGGAATATAGGGATGTAAGGATATATATATTTTATCAAAATTCTTTCTTCAAGATGTGAGGAAAATTTGTATTTTAAAATTTATAAAAAAAAGGATTTTGTTTTGTTAAAGTTGTCAAATACAGATTAAAAAGCTAATTGTTTTTAAATATATTTGGCCAGATATTTAAGTTTTTCTAAAGGGGTATGTCTTAACAGCTTTTTGGGAAAATAATTTTCGAATATTTTGGGAATTAGGGAAACTTGGGCATCAACTATGAAAAAATTAAAAGATTCACTAAAAGTCACAATAATTTAGTTTAGAGTTGCGGTTTTTTCATAACTTCAAAACTATATAAAATGTATAACAATTAGCTAACCGGTTTTAAATGTTCTTATTTGAGTTTTAATAGAAAATTAAAATTTTCGTATTGAACTAGTTAATACCTACCTTGTGTGGGGGGGGGGGGGGGGGGGTTAATAAATGGAATAATTTCAAAATAGAAACTGGATACAAACAAACAAACAACAGACAGACAGTTAAGCTAAATTTATTTATAGAAGTAAATCTCTCCCTAGATCCAATTAGTTTCTATAGAATCATTTACACCCTGATAATATTATACTGCAATGGGATCCCATCTATTCAATCATATCTCTTATAATAGTATCGTAGTTATAAGAGGTGTCTTTAAAAAAAAATAGGATCATTAAAAACGTTCCTAGTAAAGAGGGGGTACTTTTCAGTAATACACACTCCTCCTGCAGGACTTACGACTATGCTACTTTATTTTTAAACATCTTTTTAATTTTGTTTGGGCTCATTAATCGTAAACACATGCTGATGAAATTCTTTTTTTCTTTTTGGAAAGGAATAAATCTTTGTCATTTTTTGTTCGCCTTAGCTGTAGGAATCCACAATTTGTATTATTTTTGTTAATAATCTTCTGCACATTGTTTCAAAGGGTTTTCTGTAATGCACAATAGACAAACTCAAACAATTGAACAATCCATTTAACAAATATCTTTGTTGGAAATCTGGAAAATAAATGCAGAAAATTAAATTAAATTCTTAAAACGATTTATAATATTCAAAAATATGTTGAAATATTGTATGAACATTTTAAGACATTGAACAATTATTTTAAAATTTGCCAGAAGCATTTTAGTATTGAATTTTTATAGTTCTTTCGTATATTTACATAATGCACCCGCAAAGTCTATAGGCTTGAGTAAACAGAAATCATTATTAAATATTTTTAACAGGGTTGGTTTATTTATATTATGTAGGTCTGAAAAACAGAACATATAGAATTATATATCATGAAAAGTGATCATGACTGAATACTGAATATATATATATATATATATTAACCTATTCCTACTGACATCTTATCAACCTTTAGAATATACTCCCCCCCACATACATTTCCATTTTGGGATACTAATCTATAATAGTATTTCATACATTTTTGGAAAATCCTGGATGGCAAAAATCTGCAAGTTTGCAAAAATAAATTCAAATATTTATTGGAATACCTAGTTATTCAGTAAAAAATGTGCAAAAAAAACGAGTTAAAATAAGCAAAAATATTTTAAAAATTGTTAAATTCTAATTGTATGGAAAAGTACACAAAAAATTTAACCGTCTCAGACCAATACTAATTGAGTTATGTCAAAAAAAAAAAACATTTGTTCTGCACAGCAGCGCATGGTCCAACTTTTGCTGATTTACTTGTGTACCACCTTGTAATTTGTTTTTTTAATTGACCAAACTAGACAATCAGTGCATACGCGGCCATCTTCTATTTCAATTTTTAATTGTTTCTCAATCTTTCAGCATTTTATCTTAGATAAAACGATAATAAAAATTTTGGCGGATTTATAATTTTTTCATCGATTTAAAAATTTTACGAAAATGAAATATTGAATAGTAACTTTTTGAAATTTTGAACTTCCTTGTTTGTGAGTAAATCTTTATAATATTTTAATAAACCTTACCTGTGGTCATGTGAGGTCCCACAAAAATATTGGCCCGATCAGTTCAGCAGTTTTGAAGTTTTCTGTTACAAGCAAGCAGACAGAGAAGTAAAGTATTTATATGGATTGCATGTTTAGGCAGGTGGCAGAACAGGGGTTAGATCTGTTCCCTAGAAACCCACAGCTTCACTTCCACCTGGCAAACTCCCTGGGCAAACTGGTATATACGGGGACAGAAATACAGTGGGATACAGAAAACGTGGAATAGGAAGACGATATTTGAGCAATCCTGTTGTANTTGTATAGTTGATGTTGTTATAGTAAATAGTTCAACCAGATGCTTTAATATCAGGCTATCAGCTAGTTAAATGATATGGATTGGTGCACTCTACAAAGCTGTTGTATAGTTGATGTTGTTATAGTAAATAGTTCAACCAGATGCTTTAATATCAGGCTATCAGCTAGTTAAGTGATATGGATTGGTGCACTCTACAAAGCTGTTGTATTTTATGTTCATTGGACTATTTTAAATTACAACGGTCGTCTTTCTATCGCACGATTTTATCGGTCCTACTGAACGATATATTGGTAGTCAGGGGTTTATAATGGCAAATGCACAACTTTCTCTACAAATGACACAGTTTTCCACAAATAATCATTTATTTCTCCTAATGTATAAATGTAGCGAACAAATTATTGTGCCAAAGAAAACGTAAAAAATAAAAATAATGTTTTTTAAGTTGTCGAGTTTGGGTAGGAAATATATCAAGGAGAAAAAATCAAAAACTGAAATTATATTTATACACCAGTACAAAAATATTGTTTGTTTTATAATTTAATATATTTTAGAAATATTGTTATTTTCATTAGTCACATATTGTATACATTTTGTAACATCAAATTTTAATATATAAGCTTTTTATAGAAGCTTTTTAAATCTAGTTTAATTGAACGAGATGGACCAAAATTTTAGATTCTTCATTTTCCAATTTGTTGTTGTAAATGGACTTTACATTTAATTTGACTTGACCTGGACCTGGACCTGGACTTGGACTTATTAATAATAAAAGTGTTAACTGTTTATTTAAAAACTTATTAAAAATCCATTGTTTTTAGAAAATGTTCATTAAATCGGAAAAAGAATACAAAGCAGCTTTGCACATTGTGGAGAAATCAAGTTTCTATCTGAATCTGGGTGTTTTATATAATAGGTTAGTAGTTATTGTATACCGTACAGTGTAGAATAGGTTAGTAGTTATTGTATACTATACAGAGTACAAGAGGTTTGTAGTTATTGTATACTGTACAGTGTAGAATAGGTTAGTAGTTATAGTATACTATACAGAGTACAATAGGTTAGTGGTTATTTTATACTATACAGAGTACAAGAGGTTAGTGGTTATTGTATACTGTAAAGTGTAGAATAGGTTAGTTTTTATTGTATACTGTACAGTGTAGAATAGGTTAGTAGTTATTGTATACTATACAAAGTTCAAGAGGGTAGTTGTTATTGTATACTGTACAGTGTAGAATAGGTTAGTAGTTATTGTATGCCATACAGAGTACAAGAGGTTAGTAGTTATTGTATGCTATACAGGGTACAAGAGGTTAGTTGTTATTGTATACTATACAGTGTACAATAGGTTAGTAGTTATTGTAAGCTGTACAGTGTACAAAAGGTTAGTAGTTATTGTATACTTTATACCCACAACCTCTATTTTATTTTCCTTTACCTTTTTCTTTTTACTTTTTTAGAATTGGGAGGATATATACCCACAACCTCTATTTTTGGAGGGTTTTAAATATTTACAGTCTGCTATAGGTTAGTAGTTATCGTATACAGTGTACAGTGTACAATAGGTTAGTAGTTATTGTATACCGTACAGTGTACAGTTTACAATAGGTTTGTAGCTATTGTATTCTGTTCAGTGTACTATTGCATAATGTACAGTAAACAATAGGTTAGAAGTTATCGTGCACAGTGTACAGTGTGCAATAGGTTAGTATATATTGTATACTGTACAGTGAACAATAGGTTAGTAGTTATCGTATACAGTGTACATTGTGCAATAGGTTAGTAGTTATTGTACACTGTACACTGTACACAACCCAGTTTAGAATATGGTGTAGCAGACTCAGTTTAGAATATGGTGAAGCAGACCCAGTTTAGAATATGGTGTAGCATGCCCAGTTTATATTATGGTGTAGCAGACCCAGTTTAGAATATGGTTTTTGCAGACCCAGTTTAGAATATCATATGTACGGATTGTAGGGATTTTTTTCAAAAATTGTACTGATTGTACGGATTTTCAAAAAAAATTAGATTTTTTCAAAAAAAATGTTCGGATTGTACGATTTTTTTCTCGAAAATTGTACGGATTTTTTTCAAAAGAGTTTAGGCCACGAATTTACAACTCGGTAAATCAAAATGTAACTGACCAGAAAAAATTGTGCACAGAACAGTTCTTGGGTTCGTGGCTGATGTTCAGGCTCATTCTGCTCTCAGTCCACAGGGGCGTCACATCTTTACTCAGGGGCGATGGAGTACAGAACATTAATATATTTGAAAATAATAAACTACTTTGTTGGAGATCTACTATGATTTCCACCAACATATATTTTTTTCCGTATTTTCTCTTTTTCCTTCCAGGATTTCTATTGAAGAAGAAAATAGATCCTCTAACATCATTAAATCCGTAGATATATAATTGGTCTAAAGTTTATTGGCTGCTCTCCTGGGAACGCAGCTTAGCTGAAATAAATTTTCTTTATTTTTCCCCATTAACCTCAACCTACTCAAGTTGGAATTGTTAAACCACGTGAAAAACAAGGTTTTAAATTTGTCGGGAAAACAAATTTTTAATGTTTTTGTAAAATTGATCAGTTTTTTTAAAGAACCTAAAAATTTTTATTTGAATATCGATCAAGGTTTTCCTCAACACCAAATATTTGTTTTATTAAGATTTTACATTTTTTTACAATTTCAACGTTGGAAGTCAATACTTCTGTATTTGTATTTTGACAAAAAAAAACACTTACTTCACTTACAATTCTATGAATTTAATTTTTTTATTTATTTATTTATTTTTCCCTATAAACAGATGGAATTATTTACCATTTCAATGTTTTCAAATCTATTAATAAGACAGTACATATCAGTACACTTCAGTACATTTCAGTACATATATGTGTGCAAGAAGAGTTTGAGAATTTTCATCAACTAAGCAGCAAAGCTACGATAATTTTTAAATGAACTATAATCGACATTTAAGAAATTTATGGCCGCAGCGCCGGTCTCACCTGTCTTAGCCGCAGCACTCGGCCCCATAGCACATCCTAGCTTCAGCGCTCGGCCTCCTAGTTGAAACTTGAAAGGGGGTAATTTTAAATTTTGACAGATTAGTTAAATTTATTAAATATTTGTTCAAAAGGACTAGTCCTTTTAAACGACAGTACCAATAAATATCAGTCCAAAACAAACGTAGTCCAATCTATCATTAGTTCAATTGATAGGACACAAAAGTTACAGAGATTACACGAAATTTTTCATCTTTCTAGAAAATTTTTTAAGCTCATTAAAAGCAGACTACTTTTTTAACAGCCAGGATTAGGAGTGTAGGAAGAAAGCAGCAGCATCGGAGTGGTACCGATTAAAAAAATTTTTGAAAATGTAAATTGCTTTTTATGGCATAAAAACCTATATATTTGGATATTATTTTATGCATTTACAAAGAAATCTACAACATTCTTAAAAATTTAAAAATTATCGTTCGTGTATTATTCAACTCCTTATTAGACTTTACACCCTCCCTCTCTTCCTGTCTCCTCAATATTCAAGCCCCCCACCCCACGTCCCTCCTCCTCCTGTTCCGGTATATCTTTCTATTTATATCAAGTTGTAATCTTTGCTCTGTTTGTCTATTTGTTTATCCTGTCATAACTCATGAACCCCTTCATTGATTTGCCACACATTTTGATTGTGGAACTCGGGAGAACCACGGGAATGGTCTTAACATTTTATACAATTAAGAGCATTTTACATTTTCAAATTTTTTAAAATATTTTCTTTGGGGTCTCTGATGAAAACTTTGGGGTCTCCGTTGAAAATGCCCGGGTCTCCGGTATAGCACTCCAGTGATGATGCTTTCTCCCTGGACTCAAAAAACCTCTTTTTTCAATTTAATTTTTGATTTTAAATTTAGACCTAATACTGATCCCTGTAGGACACCTTAACGTGATTCCTGAGTATACTGAGTGATCTATAAATTATATTCTGAGTCATCTTTAAATAATTCTGTCATCTCCGTATATAACCTGTGTAATATATAAAAGGATCCTGTGTCATCTCCAAATCAGATCATTTGTAATCAACCAGATTAACCTGTAATATATTATAATCCTTAGTCTTATCCAAGAGGATCATGTGTCCAGAGACGTATTCAGGGGGTTTTCAGGCCCCAACGGGTGCTGAGCCCGGAAAGAAATTCCTGAATACGCCCCCCTGCGGCTGTGTCATCTACAAAAGGGTCCCTTGTCAGCACCAAGAGGCTCCTGTGTCATCAACAAGGAATCTAATAGCGCCCGGCCACCTTATAGCCTGTCCTAGCCGCAGCGCTAGCTTCAGAAAGCGTATTTTAACTTAACCTAACCCTAAATATATACTAATTTTGTTGAAAAATGTTGAAATGTTTTGCTCATTTGAACTGTTTTTTGCTTTTTTGAAATATTTTTTTGCTCATATGAACTTTTTTTTGCATCTTAAATATTAAATGCTTCATTTGAACTATTTATAATTTTAACTATTTTTTTGGTCACTTACTATTTTGTGATGATTGTTTAACCTTTATTTGTTCATGAAATGTAAAAACTTTAAACTGCATATTTAATAGTGCAAACGAGTTTATAATGTTTTGTTTGAACTATAAAATGACGTCATTCAGTATAAGTTAGAATGATCAATATATAGTTCAAACGATCAATTATAGTTCAAATGATCAATAGTTCAAACGGCAGTAGTCCAAATGCGGATCCACCAAACTTAAAGTTAAAATGAACATTAGCCCGAATGAACGTTGGTACGAATGTACGAATTAGTCCAATCAATCTATACTCATGAGCGTGCCATATATTTTTCGTTTATAGATTATCTCCAAGCTTTAACGCAAAAATAAACCCATAAT